CCGGTCCTGGGCTTTTCTTGGTTGGTAGTCTTTTGATGGCTTCTTCTATTTCATCTATTGATATTGGTCTGTTCAAATTGTGTGTATCCTCCTGACCCAGTCTGGGCAAATCATATGACTTAAGAAATTTATCGATATCTTCACTATCTTCTATTTTATTGGAATATAGGGTTTCAAAATAATCTCTAATTGTCTTCTGTATTTCTGTAGCATCTGTTGTGATATTGCCTTTTTCATCCCGTATGTTAGTAATTTGAGTTCTCTCTCTTCATCTCTTCATCAGCATGGCTAAGGGTCTGTTGATCTTATTTATTTTTTCGAAGAACCAACTTTTAGTTTTGTCAATTTTTTCAATAGTTTCTTTTGTTTCAATTTCGTTGATTTCTGCTCTGATTTTAATTATTTCTTGCCTTCTGCTACATTTGCTGTTGTTTTGCTCTTCCTTTTCTAGGGCTTTGAGATGAAGTGTGAGCTCATTTATTTGTTGGTTTTTTCTTTTTTGAGGAATGACCTCCAGGCGATGAATTTCCCTCTTAAAACTGCTTTCATTGTGTCCCATAGATTCCAATATGTTGTGTCTGTATTTTCATTTATCTCTAAGAATTTTTTGATTTCCTCCTTTATGTCTTCTGTAACCCATTGATCATTCAGTAACATATTGTTCATTTTCCATGTGATGTAGGATTTTTCCTTCCTTCTTTTATCATTGATTTCCAGTTTCATTCCATTATGATCAGATAAAATGCATGGTATTATCTCCACCCCTTTATATTTACTGAGGGTTGCCCTATGGCCTAATATATGGTCTATTTTTGAGAAGGATCCATGTGCTACTGAGAAAAAAGTATATCCACTTGATGATGGTTGATATATTCTATATATGTCAGTTAAGTCTAGGTTATTGATTGTGATATTGAGTTCTATAGTTTTTTATTCAAGTTTTGTTTGGAGGATCTGTCCAATGGTGAGAGAGGTGTGTTGAAGTCACCCATAATTATTGTGTTGTGGTCTATTTGATTCTTGAACTTGAGGAGAGTTTGTTTTATGAACGTCGCAGCACCATTATTTGGTGCATAAATATTGATAATTGTTATGTCTTGTTGGTGAATGGTTCTTTTTAACAGTATATAATGTCCTTCCTTATCCCTTTTGATTAACTCAGTCTTGAAGTCGATTTTACTCGATATGAGTATGGCCACCCCTGCTTGCTTACAAGGACCGTGTGCATGGTATATTTTTTCCCAACCATTCACCTTCAGCCTGTGTATGTCTTTTCCAATCAGATGTGTCTCCTGGGGGCAGCATATTGTTGGATTTGTTTTTATAATCCATGTTACCAGCCTATGTCACTTTATTGGAGAGTTTAAGCCATTAACATTTAGAGTTACTATTGATATATGGTTTGTACTTCCAGCCATGTTTGATTATTTATCTATCTTTTTTTTTTAATTTAGTCTGTTTATCCATGATTAGCTTTCCCCCCGCCCTCTGTCTTTACTGAGGTACTTCCCACTGTTGGTTTTGGTTATTGTTTTTCATTTCTTCCTCGTGTAGTGTTTTGCTCAAGATGCTTTGCAGTGCTGGTTTTCTGGCTGCAAATTCTTTTAACTTTTGTTTATCATGAAAGATTTTTATTTCGTTGTCGTACCTGAAGCTTAATTTTGCTGGATACAAAATTCTTGGTTGGCATCCATTGTCTTTCAGTGTTTGAAATACATTGTTCCAGGATCTTCTCGCTTTCAGCGTCTGTGATGAAAAATCCGTTGTTAACCTTATTGGTTTACCCCTGAATGTAATCTGCCTCCTTTCTCTTATAGCTTTTAATATTTTCTCTTTGTTCTGTATTTTGGATATCTTCATAACAATGTGTCTTGGCGTTGGTCTACTGTGATTTTGTATGCTCGGTGTCCTGTATGCATCGACAATTTGTATATCCGTTTCCTTTTTTATATCTGGAAAATTTTCTATAATTATTTCATTCAGCAGGTTGCTCATTCCCTTGGTTTGAACCTCTATACCTTCCTCTATCCCGATGACTCTTAAGTTTCGTTTTTTTATGTTATCCCATATCTCTTGGATGTTTTTCTCGTGATTTTTTACCAGCCTTTCTGAGTTGGCTAGACTTTTTTCAAGATGATATATTTTGTCTTCATTATCTGACGTTCTGGCTTCTACACGCTCCACTCTGTTAGTGATACTCTCATTTGAGTTTTTAATTTGGTTTATAGTTTCCTTCATTTCTAGAATTATTGTTTGATTTTTTTTATAATCTCTATCTCCTGATAAAAATGCTTATTTTCTTCTTTTATTTGTTTATGTAATTCATTTTCAATGTGTTCTTTCACTGTTTGAATTTGCTGTCTCATATCCTCTTTAAGATTCCATTCCATCTGTCTAAGGTATTCCTTGAGTTCTTTATTTGGCCATTTTTCTGATGCCTCTAGGTCCTCCTGAATATTTAGGCTGTCCTGCATTGTTTGTACTCCTTTTCTTCCTTGCTTTTTCATGCTGGTCATGTTACTTCTTGTTCTGTTTGACTGCTGAGTTACTGTTTACTCCTATAAATTTATTTGATGCTTGGGAGGAAAGGTATTAGAAGGGAAGGGAAGAAGTCTAAAGAGAATGAGAGTAAGCAGGTAGAATTCAAGGAAGGGGGAATAAGGAAATTTAAAAGAAATGAAAAGACAAAAAAATAGAAAAGAAAAAAAAATTTTTAAATAATCAAAAAAAATTAAAATTAAAATTAAAAAAATAATTAAAAAAATTTTAAAAAATTAAAAAAATGAAAATGAACCCCCCCCAAAAAAATTTAATAAATGCAGTTTTAGAGTTTGATTAACTTCTCTTCCAGTAGGTGGAGCTGTGCCCACCGGGCCAAGCTTCTCCTCTCAATACGCGGGAACCAATCACTGTGCAGCAGCTCCTCCTCCCAGACTGGGTGGGTCTCCAATCCTGAGTGCCTAGGGCCTTCTCTTGTGTCTAGTCACTTCCCCACTTTTCCTCAAGCCAGGCCCCGCTCACCAGTGACGCTCACCACAATACTGGCTACACACCAGGTCTGCTGCTTCCAGGAGCCCTATTTTCTTGAACGACTGGGCACACTCTCCCCGTTTGCCATTCCCTCAGACCCTAAGTTTGTGGAACTTGGGGCTGAGAACCCTCAGCAAATTTTGCTTGCCCTCCGGTAGCCACGCCTCCGGTAGCTGGTGCAAGAGACCTCAGTTATCAGCACTGGTGGGAGCGGTAGCTGGGGGTTCCGCGCCACAGGTCCCACGCCACTCCTGATTCCCTCAATCTGAATATCACGCTCACGGGAGAGCTGGGAGAGGCCCTTAAGGTTTCCCCGCTGTGTGGAGAGGAAGGGCTAGGGGGTTACACACCTGTTGCCGCCGCCGGTTTCAATGAAGTTATCTTCTCCGCCGCATTCTGGTGACCTCAGTTTTCTGCCATGGTGGTATCCCATGCAAATGGCGACAGTTCATTCCCTTTGCTGGGTGGCCAATCCAACGGGTGGGTCCTGACTGGCTCTCCCAAGCCCCGTCTCAATCCTGTGGCCACTGCCTATGAAGGCTCGGTTGGTATTAACCTCCGCAGGTTCAGAAGGGCCGACCAGTTGTTTCAACGGGATCATTTAGTGCTGAGTCACAGCGATTTGTCTGCGAGACGCAGGCGAACAGGAGCTTGAATTCAGCCGATCCGGGCTCGGTGTGTGTTCTGAGAGGCCCAGACTATTCGCCCCAGATCCACATCAGCTCAGCATTGCCTAGTGATCCTGAGCAAACAGCATTTAGACGGTTTACGACTCCCTATGCCCGAGCAGCTGAAGAGGTCAGAGACTTGATCTCTCCGCGCCCGCCGCCGTGTTGGATCTCAAGTATAATAAATCTTACTGAAGAAGTACTTCAAACAGAGGATCCAGAATAATAATAGTTTAGTTGCTTATGATTCTTTTGATATGTATTAATGTTAGAAGGTATTCATAAGCTTCTTTGGAAAGATGACAGTTCTTGTCTCTTATGTTATATCTATGAAAATTTAACATACATATTTTTTAGTATTTCCCACTTTCAAGGCATTTTGCTCAGACTTATAGTTGAGAAAAGCAAAACTCTTCCCCTTAAGAAGCCTATACTAGGCAGGAGGGTAAGATAATTTTGATGAATATAATTTTAGATTATGTTTTAAACATGACTCACTTTAAAATATTATCAAGGGGGCTAAACAAATGCCAGTCACAAGATGGTCCCATTATATCTTTCCCAAAGTGTGTTTGAGAGAAATGTCTTTTGGTTTATGATATGAGAAGATTCATAAAATTCATAAATACAAAATAAGTTTTATTTTATTTATTTTTTTAAAAAAATTACACATCTTACACATCTTTTATTGTCAGATGATACTAGATAATACTAAAAAAATCACCATTAATTTTGTTGGCAACATATAACAGTAGTATTGTTACATACCTTATGGTTATTAAGACCTTACAATTTTTAAGGGAACCAATATAACACTTTACATGGAAATATCTATACCTTCATATTGTTCTTTTGTGGAAAAGCAAGCTTTATTTCAAATTAACCCAAGAAGAGAAGAGGGGTCGGGGGAACACATTTACAAACTGGATGGGAGCACACAGATACTGTATCATTTGGCAAAGGCTCAGTCAGTCTCAGCAATTCCTGCTGATCCTCCAACACCTACTCAGTTTCCTCTTCAGGCTGAAACTAAAGAGTAGTCTTGAAGATGCCCATGATGTCTTTGTTATCCAAACACACTCCCATTTCAGGAAAGAGGACACCTGGGGTCTACTTTCTGGGGGATGTGATTAATTATGAAAATAAGTATTTACATTGAGAATATAGTTAAACTAGTAGCTTTCTTCACATTTTCACATTTTAAAAAGAACCAGAGGTTTCATGTTTTAATCAGTTGAGTTGGTAACGATCCTGTCTCCATTTTATAGGAGATGGATTACATTCAATTATTCCTTACAACTGAAAGATCATTCCATTGCTTTTGAAGTACTGGATGGGCTGGCATCTGCGATGGTAGCTAAATAAATGAGATTTCTATGTAACACGTGCTGGTACTGGACACACTCCTTCGATCCACCCTTGTTCTGATGCTCCACGATACAACAGATCAGCTGGTCATTCTCCTCCAGGAGCTGCTGGATAGTCTCTTGATTAACTTCTGTCTTGCCCCTCATCCAGTCAGGTACAAAGGCCATCGACATCGCTGGGGGCCCGGGTCGGCACCCCACCTCGGAAAAAGACGCCCACCATGCGGCCAGACAGATGCTATCTCTGCGCCGAAGGCACAAAATAAATTTTAAAATGGCATTTATAACATTGCATCTATTTCTGATAATGTTTAAAAGTCTTCCATATATAAGAAAACTTGTATTGTTTGTGTCAAATTAATAATGAGTGACAAAGAGATTTGTTGTCTATTAGCTCACTGGATAGAGTTCAAGTCATTCTGTTTCTTCTTTGCATAAATTGTACATTTTAGGTCTCATTATCACTGGCCCATAACAAACTGTAATTCCTTTAAAGCGTACAACCAACATTTCTGATCTTTGTATCTGTATTGTCTGTGTAAAAATACTTTATCTGTTTCTATCCCACATTGAACTAATTTCCTCTTCACTGTCCATCAAACTGCTTTACCAAGAACCATTCAAACTAGATGGAAGGAGAACAGAAGGAATATAGGATGCAGGACACAGAGGAATAATTCAACCAAAGGAGAAGAAAGATACTGGAGGGAAAAAAAAAAAGAAAAAGAAAATACTCTAACCTGGTCCTAGGAGAAAACAGAAAAGTAGGTGGAGTTGTTGCTGACACCCCCAGCTATGCTCTTGATGCTGTACTCATTTCTCTCTCTTGTCCTGTCACTTAACCCATCTCTTCACTGGGTGCCTTCAGATTGATACATCTTTGCTACCTACAGACCACTCATCAGGGAACACTTGTCTGAGTATTAATGCAAAATAATACTAGCATTTCAAAGAGAAGAGACAATGCTAAAATAAGAACCAGTTTTCTAAGCAGAAGTTTCAGGCATGTATGAGCAGAGTATGTTGCTAAGAACTCATATCAATATTACTTGTCAACAGACATTGGAATTCCTAATTTTCCTATTCCCCTAAAACATTAAAATCAATTAACACAATGTTAAAGATGAAATGTTGAAACTGAAATAGAACAGGGGAGAAAAACCTCACCAAGCATCTGTGATTTAGAAAAGCTATACAAGACAGAAAATAAATTTCAAATCTGAAGAAAGATGAAAAGATTAAACTCTAGTGTTATTAGTAGTTATCTCTGGATGGTGGGACTAAAGATTTTCTTTTCCTTTCTTTTGATGACTTCCTATATTTTTTCCAATCCTTTTACAATAAATAATTCTATGGGGGGAAAATGTAGGAATGTAAGGAGGCATCTGAAGTTTTAAATTTTCTGTTTCTTGAATTGGGTCCCCATTAATGTTCAATTTATGAAAATATAAATGATTGTTTTTCTGAGTGTATTTTGCTTGACAGATTACTTTTTTAGAAAATGCCCATGTTTTCTTAAATTCATTTTTTTATGATTGAAATAAGATCAGATAATTTAAGTCTAGTGGCATTTCATAACATGATATTGTATACTGTGATTAGTTCTTGACAACCAAGTGCATCCAAAATGAAAAACAACGTTATTTGGTTCAGTGCTGGTATAATTAGAAGATGTGGGCCTTGCAGTGATTTATTTCTTCCCTGTCAAAACTAGCAGCTCCTATAACTGATAAGGAGCTGGATCCAATTTTTATTTCTTGGTACTATTATGACAAACCCATTTACAGGTCAAAATCACATTTTAAATGAAGCCTCAGTCATCTTTCTTCTTGGAACAGGAGCGTTAGTCACTGGTGCAATTAAAGGCAAGTCTTCACTAAAGATGGAAAGAAGAAATATGATGTAGGGAAAAAAATGGTATGTGTACTATTAAAGGTTATCTACGGATGCTGCTGGATTCAGAACATAGAGGACTGGTCTGAGTTTAGACCACTCACTGGGTCACCTGGCACTTGCCCTTTCCCATCATGTGTACAATGTTCTCGCCAGACTCAGTGTGTTTCTTTAGCCAGACATCCCCTTGCTTTTCTCGAGTTTAGTTGACTTTTTTTGTTATATCGTAGGCATTTTGGTAGTTGGTAATTGTTAATGAGATGAGGTGACTGTTTGAATTGAAATTAAAAAGCTTTAAGCAAGAGAAGATGAGACCTATTTAGATGCAGAAATCCCTGTCTCTGATTTCATTAAAAATATTTTTATAAAAAGTAAGTATAGGGGCTAGGGATGTGGCTCAAGCAGTAGGGAGCTCACCTGGCATGCGCAGGGCGCTGGGTTGGATCCTCAGCACCACATACAAATAAAAAACAAAAAAGATGTCGTGCCCACTGATAACTAAAAATAAATAAATAAATAATTTTTTAAAAAGTAAGTATATTTGTTGTTTATAAAAGAAAATATTTGGTCATGAAGCATAAAATGTCTAATTTAAGCTGTGATGTGTAAAAGTAAATGAACACCTATTACTTCACCACTGAGAATAGAAACAGAACATGTGCAGTGATGCAGCCTCTTATCTATGAGCTTTACCCTCTTTCCCCAGAAGTAAACAGGATCTGAGATTTTTCAATTATCATTTTCTTTGCTTTATTTTTCAATACTTTAATGTTTGCGTATATATCTCTAAATAATATGTTATCTCATTTTGCTTGTTTTTTAGTTGAAAAAATATTAGCATACTAGAAATAATGTAATACTGCTGCCATTTTTTTTAAACATCCTGTTTCTATCTGTGTTATTGTGGACAGGTGTAATTTATGTATTTCACAGTTACATACTAAAGTGTTTTAGTGTTTTTTTTTTCATGTTTTCTTAACATGTATTTACTATCCTTTCAAAATTGATTACATTCATATTTGTACACCCTTTTTTCTTCTAATATTTTTGTTATATAAGATTCTTCAGTCTCTGTCTCTCTCCTACTTTCTCTTCTTCCCTCCCTCTGTTTCTTTCAGAGGAAGGCTATTACCATGTTGGGTAACCACAATGTGGCCAGGAACTATATGAGGAATCAGGGCAGCCTCAAATGAACACCTCACAAGAAACCTGAGCCCCCAATCTGCACTCACAAGGAACTGAATAATGCAGATAATCTGAGTGAATTTGGAAATGGACCATTCCCAAATCAAGTCTCAGATGGGAATGCATCCTGACCAACACCTTGACTTAGGACACCTTAAGAGGAGAACCCTACAGAGGAGTGCCAGGGCTTCTGTCCTCAGAAATGTGTGGTTTTCGCTGCTAGAAAAAGTGTTAATATTACATGTTAATAAGTGACTCCCTCCTATGTCTCTTGACTGACTTTTTTCAGAGCTCTGTTTCATTCTGCTGCATTTTTCTAGTTCAAGTCTACTATGTAATTCACAAATTCTTTATCTGTATCTAATGTGCTGGGTTAAATTACAAGTTTTATAATTTCAATTGTGTGTGTAAGAGAGAGAATATGTGTAATGTAAACATTTCTTGAAATTTTACTTGGTATCTATGGTAATTATAATTTTTTTGGTTGCATTATGTATTTTCATGCTTTTTTCTTTAAAACATAATCATTTTAAGTATTTTTCTAATAATTTCCTTATCGGAAGTCTCTTTATTCCCTGTTCCCAAGGCCTGTTATTTTTTTCTTGGGGTTAGCTGCACTTTCTTTTATGCTTATTTATTCTTTATTTTGAATTGCACATTTTCTTTGGAATTTATTTGTGAGATTTTTTTGAGAGCTCGGATAAGAGTAGTTCCTTCTAAGCAAATTGGCATTTATTTATGCCAAGCTGCTGGAACACTACAAATTTATAATTTAGTTTTTGGCTTGAAGTTTTCTAGAAGTAAAATAGGGTATTTTGATTTAGTATTACAAATTCACATAGGGCTAACTCATAGTTCAAGTTTCTCAGCAGTTCTGTTTCCTTCTCAGTTCAAAACTATTTTGAGAACATTGATTAGCTTTGCCACCACCTGGTTATTTCTATTTCATCATGTTATTTAGGGCAAAGTCCTTTGGGGTCCCAGCTTGATACAGGTATGATTTCCATGTAGGCTCCTATGGTGGGTCATTTTACATGTCATCTTGACTGGTTTATGAGATGCCCAGATATTTGGTTAGACATCATTCTACAATGTGTCTGTGAAGGTGTTTCTGGATGATACCAACATTTGGATCCATACGCTGAGTAAAGCAGGTGGCCCACACCAATGTGAATGAGCTTCACCAAATCCATTGAAGGTCTAAAGAAAGCAAAAGATGGAGTAGGGAACATTCACTCTCTGTCTGACCATTTTCAGGTTGGAACATAGATCTTCTCCTGCATTTAAACTGGTACTTATATCATCAATTCTCCTGGTTCAGTGGCCTTCCAACCTACTGTCTCTCCTCAATGTCCAGCTGACAAATGAAAGACCATAAAATTCTTCATCCTCCAAAAACCATGTGAGCCAATTCTTCATGACAAATTATGTGGATATAGATAGACAAAGACAATACAAGTAACAATAAATGTTGGTGAGGATGTCGGGGATGGGGGAAGGTGCCAATTGGTGCAATCACTCTAAAAAGCAGTATGGGGATTCCTCAGAAAACTTGAAATGGAATCACTATTTGAATCAATTAGCCCACTCCTCCTGATTTTAAGTCCTAAGGGACTGCATACTACAGTGATTCAGTCACATCAATGATTATAACAGCTGAATTCACAATAGCTAACTATGGAACCAACCTAGGTGCATTCAACCAACAGACAAATGTTGCCTTCATGCCCTCAGGGCCAAATATTCTATCTGATGCGCAGATGCTAACACACAATGAGGTGGGGTGAAAATAGAAGTTCAGTGGATTAGGAAAAAATCAATAAAGGGAGAGAGAGGAGTGGAATAGGAAAGACAGTAGATTGAATTGAACATAACTTTCCTATGTTTAAATGTGAATACACCATCAGTGAAACTACAAATCATGTCCAACCTCAAGAATGGGAGCTTAAATAGAATAAGTTATACTCCATGTATGTATAATATGTCAAAATGCACTCTGCTTTCATGTATATCTAAAAAGAACAAATAATTTTTTAAAAAAAGAAGCAACTGAAATGACATAATGGAGCAAATATTCCCAGCATAAACAAACAAAT